CGACTGATAAGAGCAGTTAAGACAGGGTCAACCGTCACGTTCGAACATTTTCGGGATTTTTGCGACCCCCTAGCTCTCGAGGGGGGGTCCAGTTGCGACCCCCTGTTTTTGTTAATAAGAGTGCTAGACATGAATCCGTTGCGCCAGAAAGCGTCTGCGCCGCCGCAGAAGCGTCTGCGTTGCGCGTCAGCCTTGGAGCGCGGCAGGTATCACCCGGGCGCTGGAAGAACGGGACGCGGCGAAGAAAAAATTTTAGAGGGGAATAACTTTCTTGGGACGTACTTTTTTGACTTGTTGAGGTAGATTTTGATTGTGCCTGAGGTGCGCTTTCAGAAAACTACAAGGATTGCCTAACTCTCCGGAAAGTACTTCTGTTAGAAGTGGAAAACCCAAAATTCTAAGAAGGCGCACCTTCAACTTTGAAGGCCCATAAAATCTTTCGTATGCGACATTTTGGAAATCTGTAAAAAGTTTCAGAAACTTCAAATATTTCTCTAACAAAACAGTATAAAAGTTTAGTGATTGTCCCCTTTTTCAAAAAATTGTCCCGTTCGAACATTTTTCGTGCAAAAGCGAGTTTTTGGGCTTTCAGCGACCATAACTCACTTCATTTTCATTTCTGTGATGCACTTTTTTCATGGGGTGAAAGTACAGGATTTGCTCTTTCTAACAAGCACCAAACCGTTTTTCAAAATTCATTTTTCGAGAAAATCACACGTTCGAACATTTTGTTCCCATAGGTTTTTGAGCAGCACATGCGAGTTTTTGAGCTTTCAGCAATAATAACTTCCTTCAAAGAACTTGTTGGGGAGGGGCGAAGACATTTTTGAAGACTACGAGATTTCTGCTTTCTTATGTGTTTTACCGTTGTCTGGAAGAATCGTCCTCAGAAAATTAGGTCCCGAAGAACTTTAATTTCAGCCCCGAGAAGTCAAACCTTTCATAGGGATGCATTCAACTGTTCTTTATTCCTCAAGAAAACACCGTAATTTGCCTAAAACTGTCTCTCTGTGCATAATTAATCGAATCTAATGCGGTCTGCACAAACAATTCTTGCCCTCGGATACGCCACGCACGCGCCTGTGGCTGGCAGTCCTCGAAATTGCGACCCCCTTCCGACCAAAATGCGACCCCTTCGTTCGAACAGTTCGAACGGACGGTTGACCCTGATAAGAGGCGCTGAAACACAAATTTCACGAAATTCATAGTGCGCTTCGCAGCAGTCGTCAGGAGCTGATTTTGGGGCATGATATAGGGGGTGGGACGGGAACATATTTGGTGGGGGTCACAAAGTGATAACGACTGATAAGAGCAGATAAGAGGCGCTGAAACACAAATTTCACGAAATTCATAGTGCGCTTCGCAGCAGTCGTCAGGAGCTGATTTTGGGACATGATATAGGGGGTGGGACGGGAACATATTTGGTGGGGTCAAAACGTGATAACGACGATGAGGACTGCTAGTATCGATAGAGAGCAGATTGTAGATAATGCCTTTCATTTCAATATCATTTCATCAGCGTTGTAATTGTAAACTCAAACACCTTTCGACCGCTACACCTTCTAGAGTTCTTGAGGATGAATGGGATGCTCGAATAAATATGATAATGAATACTGGGCATTCCGTTTTGAGATATTCGACCGCTAAATTACCTCGATACTCGACGCATAGTGGTTGTTTACATCATCACTTTAGCTGTGCACTTCACTGCGCTTATCAAACAGTGAGATACAGCCAGCCTATGCAACGGACAGTAATACATTTAACGAAGCAGCTATAATTTAGCGAAACCTAAAGCTTCATCGATTGTCAGTTCTATCAATGCGCGCGGTAGCGGGCGGAGCTAAACTGGTCTGCTATATAGTGCTATCTTTCATTTCAGTAGTTTGTTAAAAAATTACTTTACTGCTGCTCAATGAACCGACTTTGAGCATGCCAGTTCGAAGAATAAAGTGTCGCATTTCAGGAAATGGCCTAAAAAGCCATTGAGGGAAAAAACGGAACAATGGCACAATTTTTCGAGAGTGGTCATCCGGAAAAACCTTGATTTTCTAACAAAAGGGTTAGCCTTCTAGTTTCTAATTAGCTTTGAAAATCTGCAAAAAGTTGATAAAGTTGATAATGAAGGAAGTTATGAACGTTTGAATGACGAAAACTCGCGCGTTCTCAAAAATCGGACCACAAACCCCTGGAAAACAGAACAGCGGGATTATTCTTGGAGAACTGATCTCTAAACGAACAATCTTCTTATCAGTGATGCAGAGAAACATAAACATTTCTTCTGCAAGCTTTACTTTTCTATGATGTCTTCTGAAAAGAAATACGAGTCCTCTTTTGTAGGCCGGTTTCGGTGTTTTTTGGGGCAAAGATCACGTGGATAACTCGTATGGTCCAGTTCATGGTGCCCCTACTAATAATAGAGGAGAATTACTTGCTGTAGACGTCGCATTGAAGCAGGTTGGTTTTTCTACTTCATCATACGAAAGCCAATAGTTCTCTTCTCAGGCAGTAAGTAAGAAGTTGCCTGCGATTGTGGTGCGGACTGATTCTAAACTTCTTATCAACTCGTTGGACAATTACATGGATAACTGGAAAAGGTATAGAAAGAGTCATCTAGGTTACTCTGAATATTTAATGTCTTTGCTTACGCTTACAGAAATTCTTGGAAAACATCCTTTGGCAAGGACGTATTGAATCAGGATTTGTTGAGGTCAATCGATGAAAGTACTCGTCATACACTTGTGAGAACACTTACCTTTCTTTTTGAAATTTTGGGCACTTCCACGTCAATTTGCTGTTAGTCCGAATATATACGACGAATGAACAGCACTATGGTACTCATCAATAGCTTTTTTTTATAAATAGGTGATGCGATAAATTGGTCACTAGTGCTGTTAAGGCTGCAGCTATGAAAAAAATTATAGAAACGACTTTGAGCGTACAAAGCGAGACCTCTGTTTTCTCCGTCGATTTCCGCGTTATGTGAGACTCAACATTGCCGACGGAAGTAAGCAGACCAGCCCTTCTGGCGTTTCTGCCGGGGTCATATGCTGAATGTTGGGACGGGGATGGCCCCCCGCGGTCGACGGACTACTTCAACTCGTCCTTGAAACCGCCTCAATTTGATGCTTACCTCAGGACTAAGCCTTGAGGAGAGGCTTCAAATCTTCTCTTCAGCCCTTTTGGCGGTGCTGCTGGACCAGCTGCACCACTTGCGTCATTACTCTCCTACCGTACCGACCGAGTTCAAGTAGTCCGTCGACCTCGGGGACCCCATCCCCTCCCCAACATTCAGCATACGGCCCCAGCAGAAGCGCCAAAAGCAATGGTTTGCTTAACTCGTGCAGACGCCGTCAACGGGAACGCATTGCTCCGCCTTCCTGCTGAATTTTACCGAGTCTGGCAGCTAGGAATCAATAGCGAAGTATTTAGTTATAGAGCGGGCGAGGCGACGATGGGTGTGTATATTTAATTTGAAAACTGCGTACGGTATAGGAATCGAGGGGTTGCTGTAGCGTACAGTAGCCACTTCGCGGCTCCCGGGCTTGCCCGTGTCATGACCCCACATAATTGCTTGCGCAATGCATGCATGCATGCAAAATCCCACAAATTTAGATATTTTAGGAAAAGTCTCCAATGTGGCATGTGTTAAATACAAATACGAAATTGCCTATAAACATCAACTTCCAACTTGAGATCCCAGGAATTTTTTCTAATAATTTTTGTTCAAAAGGCCACTTAGCCGACGTCCCAAAATTATAACTCCACCTCATGTTTTCTATAATTTTCCACTCCCGTTTCGCCAAACTTTTTTATTGTAGTAGGTTGGAAAGAAAGTCCTGCAACACTTTTTCAAATTTTTGATTTTAATTTTATCTTTTTTGTTTACAACTCCTGACCGGTCTTATATCTACCATGAGTGTCCACCACTTGTCTTCAACGCTCAGAAAATTTCTTGATGCTCCTTTTCCAAAACCCAGCGGAGTGCGGGTCGAGAAAGGAGGCGACCTCACTTTCGAGTTGGAGTTGATCGTCTAATTATTTCGTCATCAAGATGATGATTTAAGGTCCAGGATCATTTATAGCTCGACCAGGGGAATACGCTAAGAGAGGTAAGAAATCTTGCCGCAGCTCCAGAATTTCTTACCGGGCTCATTTCGGATCATGGTGATTCGCAATGTCATGAAAGAAATGAAATATTGTCGCGGTACGAGGGCTCTTGACGAGCTGCCTCGGCCAGCTTCTGGAGTTTCGCAGCCTAGACCTCTACCTACACAATGGTGCCCATAACGAAGAATTTGTAGTGGAGCTTCCGTAAGAGCCCTACTGTAATGGAGTGTGCGGGACGCTGCTGGCTAATTAAAAAAATAACAAAAGATCGAAAGCGCTGGTGAAAGGTGAAACACGCTGTAGCGGTGAACGGCATGCCTATTGAAGCTATTGCAGATAGTGTTGGTCTTTGACACGAATCCATAGTTATGGAGACATTTGTACTAGACAGTGACTCGGAGTATGGATTTACCAGTGGTCGGATTTTTTGAATTTTCTTGGATAACTACTGACTGCAGCACTTTATATCCACCTCCTGGATTGAAGCCAGGGTCAACCATCACGTTGGACCGATTTCAAAATTTTTTACGACCCCCCCTCTTGGAGAGTCTCCATACGACCCCCCCCCGCATTCATTATGTACTGTACACTGCTAAGGAGAAAGCTAACGGGGGGGGGGAAATAAGTGCAATCTAAAAAAATCTAAAGACACTTGGCTTGAATTCAAACACAGTTAGCAGACGAAGCTCTAG